ACACAGAATGTTTCCTTCCTCCTTTGAGCAGGAAGTCCTTGTTGTCTGTAGTACACGGGCACTTACCATATACCGTCCAGTGCCTTCATGAGTAGTGTTGGTGTGTAAGCTATCTGGCTGTTCATGTGAGTACATCCTGCTCCCCAAGTAGATTTTGTGTTCTTTTTGTAGAACAAGTCCTATAGTTTTGTGTTATACAACTCACAGTGGAAATTCAACTAAATTGACTGTTCTCCTGCATCTAAGGGGTGGACTTAAATATATGTAGAAGGGTTAAGACCTGGGTGTGTGCCTAAGAATGAAAAGTAATACTTAGCTTTGTTGATATTTCCCTGTTGCCTGGAAAAAAGAGGGTATATTCTGTGTATGATGTTTCATATTCAGGACGTGAAGCAGTTTCCTAATACGCAATGTAGGCACTGTCACCCTCTACCCCCAACAAAAACTTTTTTCACCTTTTGTCTCTCCTTATCTCTTCTATTTACAGACTGACTATAGGCTTTTTTGTTGAACTACAAACATGTCTGATGAATAAATTGTATTTTAGTTTCCTGGGGCAACAATTAGAAGTCTTTTCTGCACAGGTATAGTGACCTCCTTGGGAGGTGTCTTTCTTGTGACTAACCTTCCCCTGGGGGCTGAACCGAAGTCAGCAAAGTGTTAAAGACATGTATTCTCAGAGTAATGTTTTGTATGGTGGGACTCCTTTGGATTAAAATAACAGCAAGTCAACCAAAAAGGGGAATTCACCATGAAGATATGAGACTGTTTCATGGAACCTAAAGATGAGAAACTAGTTGGCCTTCAGGTACCATGTGGAAATATGTCTCTTACCTTTAGTTAATTCTACAGGTCTGCTTTATTCCTCTTTCCTGGTGCCCACTAGCTTCTGCTTTTTCTATCCATATGGTGAAGTATGGTGCTAACAGCTTCTGAGTTTGAAATTTTAGAGTCTAAGTTATAGAAAAAAAAAATGATTGCCTTGATTCATGCCCTAATACCTGAAGAAGGACTTCAGTTACCATCTTGGACCAAAGATCCATCTCTGAACCAATAAAATGTGGTCAGACATGATAGATACATATTTTACTCTATTGTATTTCTGGGGTAATCATTTGGATGGAGGGTGGTAGGAATGGCCTAGCGCCTGAAGGAGATATGCTGGACAGATAAAAGAGCAGAGGTGTGCTACACTGTGCGCGTGCATAGAGGTGAAGAGGTTCCAAGCCCCTTCCCACATGTTACGTCATGGGAGCCTCATGACAGTAGAGAAGCTCGGGCAAGACAGCCACTATCGGTAGACAACTTACACATTCACATTTTACATTCTAAGGGCATTAAGATGCTTTTAGAAGCTAAGCGACTTATGCAAGGTTCACAAATAAGTAGCAAATTCTTCCATTGTTCAACAAACTTACCTTTCAAAAGGCTCCGGAAACCCCACCACCTTCTCAAAGGTAATGAATACGAGAGTAATACTAACTTAGTTTGTCTTCTCTAGAAAAAAGAGCCGTTCCAGAGGAGTGTAATTTCAGAGAAGCAGGAATGAGGGAAAAGAAAAGTGAGAGAAAGAAACGAAACATAAGGGAGTGAGTTACTGAGCTGGCCCCAACCTTGGAATAAGCTGATTGTTTTGTATCACAGGATATTTTCAGGGAGGCTGTGTGAAGCTACCGTGTGTGTCCCACAGGCAGGGGAGGGAAAGGAATAAAAGTTTATCCACTAGATTCTATTGCTCTTGGTCAAAGTTCAGGCTCCAGGGCATTAACTTACCAACACTTCCTGTTGTATATGCCTGGGGACCTAGCAGAACCTGCTGGACAGCAGAGAAGTCCTAGGGTAGAAGGAAAGATACTATCAGGTCATATATGAGAGTGACACGAAGGACCAGAGGCAGCCATGGAGGGAGTCTCTCTGGCTCAGCAGATCAGGCTACACCATGAGCTGATCTTCTGCCACAAAGGTGACAATTGACTTTAGCAGTCTCCTCTCCATGGCCTACAAGAAGGCAGTTGATGCCAAGGCGTCATCCTGGAGGACCATCAGTAACAATGAGCAGCTAACTGCCTGGTCTCAAGTGGGAATGGTGATACCTACTCCTTGGTGAAGACTCATTTCAAGGACACCTCTCCTACAGTACTCGAGATTTGATCAATCCCATCTTTAAGTCCACACTATTCTTCACATGAGTGTACACATATTTAATAAAATTATTTATTCAGATTTTTTCTCCTAGAAAGGATTTTTATGAGATTGAGTAATGTTGCTTCATTAATTGAAGTTTACCGAGTACCTACTATGTGCTGGGCACTATTTTAAGGAATAGGCACATAGGCACCTGGGTGGCTCAGTTGGTTAAGTGGTTAAATGTCTGCCTTCAGCTCAGGTCATGATCCTAGGGTCCTGGTGGAGCCCCGCATTGGGCTCCCTGCTCCGTGGGGGGCCTTCTTCTCCCTCTCCCTCTGCCTGCCGTTCCCCCTGCTTGTGCTCTGTCAAAGAAGTAGATAAAATTTTTTTTAAAAGAATAGTGATAGGCAGAAATCTTTTACTTTTTGAAGCTTACATTTTAGTGTGTATATGTATGTGAGACTAATAAAGAAATAAGTAAAATATACATTGTGTTAGGTAGTGATAAATACTGTGGGTGAAAACAAAGCAGGAAAGTTAGATAGGAAGTGTGGAGGTGGGGAGTGAGGGTTGTGCATTAACCAGGGTGGCCAGGGAAGGCTTCATGGAGTAAGTAACATTATAGCAAAGAGTATGTATGGGTATCTGGGGGTGGGGGGCTGAGTTGTAGAGACAGAGGAAATCAAGTGCACAGGTGTTAAGGCATGCTGGATGTTTTCCAAGAAGGCCAGGGAGACCAGGGTGACCAGAGCAGAGTAAGGGAGAGGCACATGAGAGAGAAGAGAGTAGATGAGGTCAGAGAATTAATACGGAGCCAAATTATCTTGGGACATTGAAATATCTTTAACTTTCACTTAGGGAGGGATGGGGAAGCACAGGGAAGCTTTAAGCACAGAAGTGAGCTGACTTCCATTTCAACAGGATCACTCTGGCTGAGAGTAGATTTTAGAGGGATAAGAGCTGAAACTGGGAGTTAGGAGGCTACTGGTATAACTCAGGTTAACAGTGTTGATTGTTTGGACCAAGATGGCAGAAGAGGTGATAAGAGATGGTGTGATTCTAGTTTAAAGATGGAGCTGATAGGATTTATTATGGATAAGGAAGGACATCTGAGGAGATTAGAAATCAATCATTAGGAAGATGACTCCAGGGTTTTGGCCTGAGCCAAGATGACAGGAGAAAACAATTTTAGAGGAAAGATTAGTAGGAAATGGCTCTTAGACATCCAAGTGGAGTTGCTGAATTGATAGTGGATTTAGGAGACTGAAGTTTAAGGAGGAGTTCATGGTTAGAGAATCAGTATGACATTGAAGGCCATGGGACTGGATAAGATCACCAAGTGAATATATGTAGATGGAGAAGTGAAGGGGACAAAGGGCCGACTCCAAGGTCACTCCATTCTAAGGGGTTAGGAAGGTGAAGAGGACCAAAAAGCATACTCAGCATACCTGGCCATGAAGTAGGAGGAAAACCAGAAGAACGTGGTTTCCGGAAGCCAAGATAAGGAGGTATTTCAAGAGGCAGGGACTGAACAACTTGGCCAAATGTTGCTGATAGCGGTGTTGAGAACTGACCTTTGGTCAGCAGCATGGAGATCACTGGTGAGCTTGAGCAGTTTGGTGCAGCAGAGAGGGTCAAATGCTCAGATGGAAGTTCAAAAGAGAATGGAGGAGAGAAAAACTGTATGGAATAAATACAGGCAATTCTTTAGAGTTTTGCTTTAAAGGGAAGGGGTGAAAAGAGGGTGGTGGTTGGTGGGGCAGGGAGAATAAAGAAGTGTGTGTTAAGGGCCTATTTATATGCCTCTTGGAAGTGTCCACTAAAACCTACCAGGTCAGAAAAATGAACCAGGCAGAAAAATGAACAAAATACCCCTAAGACCAGGTCTGCATGGGCCACTGAACTGACTGACCCACATGGTTCACTGTATCTATGAGGAAATGTACTGTGGGAGTGAAGGTGCCTGGGCTAGGCCTTATAGACCCAACACCTTAAAGGTTTCAGATTCAAAAAGTAGAAATAATAAACCTGTCAAATAGCAGAGTGGAGGTTCTCTACTGATCCATGTGAAGCCGAAATGTGGTCTGGTGGCATTTCTGAGAGGTTCCTTTAGAGTGGCAGTTTTATAGAATGTTGAGTTGCTATCATTATCATCCTCCTCACTATCATTTGCAAATAGCACCTAAGTGCCTAATTTCACCTACCACCTCATAACTTAAAATAGAGGGCTTTGTTCCCTAGGGGGAACTGGTGTGGTGATGAGCTGTAGTAAAAGAGGCCTGAAGTTCAGGGATGGGGAAAAGGCAGGGATCGGGTGAGGCAGACTCTTGCCAAACCATCCTGCCCCAGTTCCTGATTTTCACCCTGCCTCTCCAAGCGCGGGAGTGCATGGCTCTTTCTCTGCGACTTCTTCCTCCTTTGCTCCTTGAGCCCCCCTACTTCTTCTTTTGCTGTTCTCTCTCAAAGCAGGGGTGGTTCTGAAGATCCGCTCCGACCCCTACCTGCCTCCCCACCGCCTGTAGGCGCGCGGGAAGCGGACTGAGACCCCTGAAACTCCAGTGGGGGCAGGAATCGGCGTTCTGAGCATGTGCGAGCAAGCCCGGAGGCTAGGACGGATTTGGGGGGCCTGGCCCAGGTCGCTGTCCTGCGCGCGGAGCTAGAGCGCGGGGAGCGCAGGACCAGCCCGCACTCCCGGGAGCCAGGCTCCTGCGCCTAGGGCGCAGCGGCTGCGCCCTACCCTCCGGGCGTGGGCGAGCTGGCCGCGTGTGCCTCCCTGCTTGACGCGTGGGCGAACCAATCAGGACGAGCGGCCCAGGCTGCCATGTGACGGGCGAGGCGGCTCCTTTCCCCAGCGCGGCCAGAGGGAGGAGAGAACCGGGGCTCGCCGCGAGCCTTCGAGAGCAGCGGTCGCGGAGGCGGCTACGGCGGCGGCACAGGCTCGGGCCAGCCGCGCGCGCATCCACCGGCGCCCTGCGCGGCTGAAAGCTCGGCGGGCCGCGGGAGCCCACGATTGGAGTGGACAAAGCAAGATGGCAGGGATCTTAGCCTGGTTCTGGAACGAGAGGTTTTGGCTCCCACACAATGTCACCTGGGCAGACCTGAAGAACACGGAGGAAGCCACCTTCCCGCAGGCTGAGGACCTCTATCTCGCCTTTCCCCTGGCCTTCTGCCTCTTCATGGTGCGGCTCATCTTCGAGAGGTAAGAAGGGCTGGAGCGCTCCTCCCCTCCCCCTACACACACACACACACACACACACACACACACACATACACACACACTCTCTCTCTCTCTCTCTCACACACACACACACGCACACGAACCCGCGCGCGCACATTCGCGCGCACACGCACACTCGCGTGCTCTGTGGCGCACGCACCCGCGTCCCCAACGCTCGCGCTCGCTTCTCCCAACCTTTGTGTTCGGGAAGGGGTTGCTGACCCCTCAGCCCGGCTGCCGTTCGGGGAGCCTGGGAGGATCTGGCTAGCCTACGGATTTCCTCCGGGGCGCCTGGGAGGGGCCGCGGAGCGTGGGGGTCGCCCCCCGCTCTCCTCCTTGGCCGGCTCCCTCCCCGCCGCGAGCGCGGGCGAACAAAGGTGAGCGACGGCCGGCCTCGGGACGCGGCGCACTCCGCGGGGCTGCTCCTGTCCGCCCTGCGGGCTGCCGCGCTGCGGGGCAGGGCTTCCCCGCGGAGGCTTGTCGCCACCCACCTGACAGCCTGGAACGTTGCGGACGCGCCGCGGGTAGGGCGGAGGGACGGTGCACACTTCCATTCCTTTCACTCCCGCACGCGGATTTGTAGAGACCCGGCGTCAGAAGAATTCGCCAGGGACTCCTCGGCTTCTGGCCGCTGTTTAGTTTCTATCAGTGGCACTGAGTATCAGGTTCACGGTCCGGGGAGATAGATGACAATAGTTTTTAGGCTTCCAGCACTCCAGGTCATTAGAGGTTTTCTTAAAAGAGGATATGGCAGGACGAGTGCACAGCCTGCAACATGGTGATATTAAATAGATAGATGCTTCCTATGAATAACCATAAACTTTTGTACCAGAGACACTTAAAACATTTTAAAGAACTGTTAATTATTGTTTGTTTAATTTCCGGATTTGGTTAGTAGCTCCATTGTGTCATGAACAAACTTGTGTTACTCTTATTGAATCGGTCTTAGTCACAAAACTCGATTTTGCGTGCTGTGCACTCCCGAGGAGCTATTGAAACAAAAGCAGGGCAGCAGCACGTAATTCTTTTCCTTAACTGAAAACCTCGCCTCTCCTTCCTCTTCTCTCCCAGCCCCCCATTCATCAGTAAAGGCTGAATTTCTTAGATCACAGAGTTTAGACTCTATTTCTCACGTTCACTCCACCTCTTCCCCTGCCCCCAACTCACCCCTGGTTTTGTTTCTTAAGCTTTTGCTGTTATTTTGTTTGCTGTTTCTGTTTGTCTAAAACCGCTATTGAGGATGGCAGAATTTGCCTTTTGTGTCATTTGTTTCTGGAAATGGCAACAGAAAAAGCTTCGTGGGAACAAAAAGTGTCTTTTGTTTAAGGAAGCTGTATTTTTCAACGGGCAATATTGATGCTTCTGAGCGAAGTCAGCTGTTCACATGCAGAGATTGAAATGCACAAAGGAACAGATTTAAAGACCTATTTTAAAATGATTGAAATCCAGCGCAGGTGCCTCATTGATCCTATCTAGCGCTGAGACTTAATGTGAAAAAGTGGGTGTGTTTGCAGGTTAGAGTTGCTTCTAGAGCAAACGTTTACTTACAGAAAATAGGAGCTCTTACCTAACTTTGCAGTCTCTCCAAAAACAGCCTCTCAGGAACAGCAGGTTGTTCCATGTTGATCCTTAGTAGGAGCTCCACACACAGTTGCCTTAGGACATCTGATCAATTCTGCCTGGGCTCACTTGTAATCAGCAAATGCATTTGAAAGAGGTGTGTAGTCTTGTTTTAGATAACAAAAGCATGCCAGCTAATGACCTATATGCAGAAAACTGATTCCAAGCTATTCATTAGGTTGAAAAAAAGTAAATTTAGCTTTGTACTTAGACTTTCTCTGCCATAAAAAAACTTAAAAACGGATGTAATTTAAGTTGAAAACTGGAAGTTTGTTATTCCTCTTCCTGAACATTTTTTTTCTTCCTTTGCGCAATCCCATGACTTGACTTAGAGTTTATACAAAAGGGTCAGCCGCTTTCAGCTCTCAGTCACAGCAAATGTCCTCATATTGCTAGGTAGAGAGTTTTCCAGTTTCTTTCAGGCCATTGATTCAAGTAGAAGTGAATTTAATGGCCTGTATGGAAACTGAAAGTTTGTGATTAATGTTTAGCATAGTAATCCAGTATGGCCCATATACCACACGATGCTACTGACTTTTGGAAGGGTGTCTACTTTTTTTTTTCTTCTTATACTAGTGACAACTCTGTCTTTAACCATTCAGACTCTCGAGTCTCTGAAAATCCAGGTGTATAGTTGTATCCAGAATTACAAGTTCTGCATGTTTCTCCTCTTCTCACACCTAAATAACACGTTCTGGCATCCAGCCTGTGGCCGTCATCTCAGCATCCATCAAGGGCCTGAACTTGAATCAGCTGATATTGTTATCATTGATACGACTCACTTTCAGTACCCTTCTAACATGTTGTGCTTAAATCTTTTTTGCAGTATTCTGTAATGTATAGCATGACTTAAGCCTTTTATGAGTCCCTTTGTAAAACGAAATGATTTTATAATAGAAATAATTCGCTCCAGATTCGGTTCCTTTTTTTAAAACTTGTGTTTCATTTTTGGGGTGCCTGGCTGGTTCAGTTGGAGGAGCATGCAACTCTTGATCTTGGGGTCGTGAGTTTGAGCCCCACTTTGGGTGTAGAGATTACTTAAATAAATACTTAAAAAATTATTTTTTTTATTTTCGAGGGTTCTATCCTTTTTATGCTTCTGCTGTCACTTATTTCAAAGTTGAGAACATATCTATGAAATATCTTGTTATCCAAGATCTTTATTTCTGTTAAATGGGTTCTGTAATGCCCTTGTTGAGGCCCAAATTGTGAATTTGAATACCTTCTCCTTAGTCTTACGTTTTTCTCTCTCTTTTTTTTTAAAGATTTTATTTATTTATTTGAGAGAGAGAGAATGAGAGACAGAGAGCACGAGAGGGAAGAGGGTCAGAGGGAGAAGCAGACTCCCCGCCCAGCAGGGATCCCGATGCGGGACTGGATCCTGGGACTCCAGGATCATGACCTGAGCCGAAGGCAATCGCCCAACCAACTGAGCCACCCAGGCGCCCACGTTTTTCTCTTTTAAAGAGAAACGCTAAAGAATGGACTGGATTGAGCTCTGCTCGGTTGAACAGGCTTATTTTTTGTTTGCACTCCACTGGTGGGGTGTTGACAGTGGAGGCACTGGTGGCCAGAATGATGCTGTGTTATATACCATATGGGCAACAATATGGATGCCCAGCATGGTTGGTTAAAAATGGAGCAGCCTAAATTCAGTGATTTTTGGCTGAGTCTCTGAATAGCCCTAAGCTTGGTGGTTTTTAGCATAGCCTTTACACTGTACTTAACTCTGGGTAGAACAGGAAGGGCCACTATAGATATTACGTGATTGACAAAGTAAAATATCTCTTGTTCAAAACAAAACAAAACTTCATAATTTCTCCTAGAATGAAAATTTTAGAGTATCCCATTATGTAGTTAGCTTGATGACAAGGAACAAAATATTATTTATTTTACATTTTTAAAGAATTTCAATTTCACTATAGTTAACATAGTGTTATATTAGTTTCAGGTGTACAATATAGTGATTCAGCAATTCTATGCATTACTCAGTGCTCATTGTGATCAAAATATTATTTAATAATGTAGCATTATCATCTATTTGATTATTTTTATTTAATACTTAAGGCTTAATAAGCCATTCTATGGAATTATAATAAATGGCTTTTCCCAAATTCACTTTTTAGAATGTATTGCTGTAGGGGTGCCTGGGTGGCTCAGTGGGTTAAGCATCTGACTTCATCTCAGGTCATGATCTCAGGGTCCTGGGATTTAAGCCCTGAGTCGCGCTCCATCTGTGCTCAGCAGGGAGTCTGCTTCTCCCTCTCCCTTTGCCCCTCCCCCCTGCTCCTATGCTTTGTCTCTCTCAAATAAAATCTTTTAAAAAATGTGTTGCTATAGTATTCATAAATGTGGGATTAAAGTTCTGAATTTCTTTTTGGGAATAAAAATTCCTTGAGTTATTGTTGTAACAGGTAATGTTAATACATTTTCTTCCATGTGGGTTTAGGAGAGAGATGCAGGAAGTATCGATTAGGAGTCAGAACATTCAAATTCTAGTCAAACTTACCTCAAACTGGGGCAGCTGCCTAATTTCTCTCTGCCTTATTTTCTCATCTATCCATTGAAGCAGATGGCGTTTGTAATCTAAGTTTGCTTTCACCCCCCCTCAGTTATCCGTTTCCTATAGGTAGTCTATATATTTCAAGCTTGCTGATTATTATCTCACGAAACTTTGAGCAGGCTAAATGTCATTTTTTGCAGGTAGAAATAAGTCATCTAAGAATAAAGAGATTTTTTTCATACAAGTATTTTAGCCAGTGGTTTTGTTTCTTGTATTTTTCAACTATGATTTGAATCAGAAGAATCATTTGGACTATTATCAGTTGTGCTCCAAAAAGCTACAATATTTCGGAATAATCAACAAAGACGATTCTACAGAGAAAGCAGTTGCTCTCTTTCCTCAGACAGGTGGACCCTAGAATCAACCTGGCCCCTCTTGTGATGACTGGTTATGAAATGAGAAACTCATTACTGTCAGGTTGGCTCTCAAAGTGCCAAGCTATGTGAGAAGTGTCGTTTTTCAGGAGGCTGACACCAGTTTTGCTTGCTCATTCAGTCAAATGACCTGCTGCCCTCCGACCTTCAACAGCAGTGTCTCAGTAGTGTCCGAGGGAATGTCTGTCCAGTGGGCTTTTTCTTATCGATTTACTTAGTATCTTTGCCTTGATAGCAGCCTTGGGGGAGGGGAAGGAAGGGAGGGAAAATGAATGAGAACATATTCCTGATGGTTAGAGGGGAGAGAAGAGGTATGAGTGAATGTCTGCCACGAGAAAGCAGTGTCAAGTGAGTTTGATTTCTGAAGGATATTCCTGTAACGTACCTTGTAATGAAGAGACTGATGTCATCCAATATATTTTGAA